ACCTATCTGCGCTTACGCTTTCCATTGTCCGTTTTATTTTCGCAACTCATTGCTGTCTGCCTTCATCCGCCAGCAAAGCAGACAGCTTGGACGTCCGTCCGTCCGTCCGTCCGTCCGTCCGTCCGTCCGTCCGTCCGTCCACCCGTCCATCCATCCGTCCGTCCGTCCGTCCGTCCATCCGTTCGTCTGTCCATCCGCCCGTCCATCCCGCCGCCCGTCCGCCTGTCCGTCGGCCGGCGGCTCGGTCGGTGTGCTCCTGTCCATTGATCCCCGATCGACTGGTCGCTGTGTTCATAGAGAAAGGATCGACTGGGGGCTGTGCTCATAGAGAAATGAGCGGATCGGTACTGTGCTCATAGAGCAATGAGTGGATCGGTGCTGTGTTCATAGAGAAATGAGCGGATCGGTACTGTGCTCATAGAGAAATGAGGGGATCGGTACTGTGTTCATAGAGAAATGAGCGGATCGGTACTGTGTTCATAGAGAAATGAGCGGATCGGTGCTGTATTCATAGAGAAGTGAGCGGAAGCCGAGTCGGGGTCTGGGCACAGCGACAGGCGCCCGAGCCATGTCAGGTTGTCAGACGGTGAAGCGGTTATATCCTCCTAACACTGACATGGACACTGATGATGACACGCACACGAACTGCATGAACACTAGCGTTGACAAAGATACTGGCACCGATACCAATACCAACACCTATGTATACCACTGGCCAATAGTGTCACCTACATATATAAATACATTATGCATAGTTATCTCGATGGTTCGACACATACGCATTGATTTTATGAGACAAAGACCGACATCAACATCATCATTCTGGACGCCGCTCTATTGATCCCTGAGACCTGTGCAATGATTGTTGACGTGTGCTGTCGGGTCCCGTATCATTGGAATGCAATCATAGCGCCGCCTTGCCTGATTGGACGGGATGGCTGTCAAAACTTGTTGACTGCTTAGTGGAAGGTTCCGCGGAGATGAAACAGTTTGTTGCAGACACTTCTGATGTGATTTTGGCGCAGTGCAGGGGCCGGTGTTGAAACAACACATTGTTGAACCCGGTTCTTGTTCCCTTGTGTGTGGGCGTGCTTATGCGTCGTTAATGCTTGTAGAATAGGTAGTCATTTGCCTAATGGTCTCCGATTAAATCAGGACTGAAACTTCAATGGGGCAACGGCACCACATTTGGCCATTTGTGACCGTTCGCTGTGATAGAAGGTAATGTTGTCCCGTCTGCCGTTGTGCACGGCATGATAACGCTGTGGAGACGACAGATGCCAGGGCTCCCACCGCTAACCTGGCTCTGGGCAGGGTCGCTCTTAAAAGCAGCTATGTCTTCTTGAATGGTACCGATACATGCCACCGTGCTGTTCTCTCTCTTGCTTTTCAATTAGACAGTCTTATTTAACTTAATGACTAATTGAGCTGTAAATGAAGCGGCCCAATTCAGTTTCGGATGCTGGTCCGGTGACTGTTCTTATTTGAACCGGCGAAATACACTGTCATTCCTATCTCGCGGGAATCACACCTCGACCTCTCACGTTTTCCATCTCACACCTCTGTTTCATCTGCCGTGCTGAAATACCTTCGTGTCGTTGCTGGCCGTTCGCGCCTGCCTTCTCACAACTCCCGTGTAAGCTTACCGTGGGTCGTGAGCGTCTCAGCCATAATGGTTTCGGCTCCTTTACTGCTGACACTGCCGGCTTCGCTCAGTTTCCCAGCGACAAAGACGCGGCGCGACCCCGCTCGTTCCATTTTCACATTTTGTCGAAAGGGCACAGTCTCGCCACTGCTGCCGTTCCCTAAAGGTCACGGAGGTCGTGGGGTACTGCTCGCCTGAAATGCAAAATCATATATCTCGCTAATGAGCTGTTCACACTGGACAGGCTGGCACCAGAGTAATCTGCCGCCCGACAGGCCGCGGATTGAAATGGAGGCGTCGATGCTGGTTTATGTTTTTATGTCGGGCTTGGCTGCGATGACCAGCTGGTGTGAGTGATTTGAGGAGCTTATGGCTGTCGGTAAAACTCGGCATCGTTTGTCATTTTTCAGTCAACGAGCGTATTGTTTCGGATATTGGGATCCCGGGGGGCCTTGCAGAATCTCAACTCTCGAGCTTTATTGTTTGTGATGAGTTTGGCAAACGCAGGCCTAGAGCTGGTGTTTCCACCCAAATGACTTGATCGGCTGCGGTGCGCCTGGAGACCAATCCTATACATGTATCATTGAACATTCAAACCTAATATTCGCGAGCGGGCAAATATGATTTACCATGTGACGGTAATCCCTTTGAAATAACTATGTTAACTGGAAGTGCAGCGTCCGCGCCGTCACTGACTCCTTCTCCCTCCCTCATTATTGTCTTTCCGAGACCTTACCTATGTACAAACTAGGTATTGAGCGGCATGTGCATGACATGACCTAAGACCCTGTTCTTTGGGGTAGCGATCGACTCCGACCCGCCTCAGACCATGTCAGCGGAAGGAGCCGTGGGCTCAATTGATCTTCCACCGACACGGAATCGTTGATCTTGATCGTTATTAGAGACGGATGAGCGGTCGACCGGACCGGCATCAGGACGGGAAGACTCCCCTTGTTTTGATGGCATGGGGTCAAACAGGGGTCAAATAGTTTCAATAGCTCTCGATCTGTTGGGGCCCACGCCGAAGAACGAAAACCCCTCTGTTTCCACTGTGTTGCGTTGTTTGTGCTGACGACTGCATGGTTAGGCTTTCATTATGGGTGCTGGCTTTAGCACGGGAGAAACTGCACACAACTGCTGACGTCTACCATCTGTTGCTTTTGTTTACCTGAGAGCATAATTCGACAATTACTTGAAACGGCTATGGAATGAGAGTGTCAATGTTTATATCCGTCGGTATGTGTTTGTTTAGGTATCTGTGTGGGGAGAGGCAAACCCTGGTTTCCGTTAACCAACTAGCATCTCTATTGGTCAGGAATGGGGAAAGGACATCAGAAGGGGTTTAGGATGAACGGGACGTGATCAGAAGCGAAAGGAGCGTCAAGGTGGAACCTTCAGCCAAGGGGCGACTGCTGTGGCAGCCACGATTCAGTGGCGGGGTTTGGGGCCAGAAGACAGCGCTATATGGCTGTAGGTCCGTGCTTACATGCCGGGCCCAAACAAACTAGACTCGGGCACAAACAAACGGCGCTATACAAGCGAGCCATCGACGGCGAGGGCCTTCTGAAGGCGAGTGGGGATGGGACACCCTAACTGCTACCGGTGTAGATCAGGGTCTTTACTCGTTGTCACCAGCGTTCCTCATATAGCTTGACCCGATGACCTGTTAGAGAACCTCTGCCGGCTGTCATTGCTGTACGATGGCTTGAGAGCCCTGAGAACACATTCAGCCCTGAGATGACACCGAGAGCGGCTGTGGTGGCTGTGATAGCTTGGTCTGATTCAGAAAGTCGCATTGATGGAGGAACGGCGATTTCGTCCTGCCTCCGTCCATACCCTCCATATGGAACCGGTACAACCACTGTGTCCTGTGTCCTCTGTATCCATTGTGTTCATTGTGTCCATTATTGCTGTAACCGTTGTGTCCACTTTGTCCCGGTGTCCAGTGTCCCTATGTCCTCTGTGTCCGCTGCTCGCCTGGCTGCTATGGTCCTCCCCTCCCGTTCCATAATATCGATGAAGATGAGATGGGATCAGCCGCGGAATGGACGACGCTCTCGGGATTGCCTGTCGGTGATGGTATATTGTTGACCTTAGTTATTGCCGCAGCTTCTGGAATATCGCGTATGTGGAGGGCTTTGGGGAAAATTTCATTTACAGGCATAACCTGTCGTGGCTCTCGAACATATATTAGTTCCATGGAATGGAATTGAGTGGCTAGTTTATATATGTCGCCTCGTATATCATACGAATGGCCTGCAATGCTGAAACGAGATGTTGGATATGGTATCTCCACTTCATGACAACGTGGTATCTCCAAACTCGTCTCCTTATGAAACAGTGATTACTGATTACGCATCACATGCCCGAAGTGATGCCTCATATTCTTACAAAAACACCCTCCAAACCATTCGAATAATTACATGTGCCATCTTGTGTTTTCCCTCCGGTATATGCGGTGGTACCGCACAGCTCGGCGCGTGCGATAATTGACCGATACGGTCTGTCCGTGCCGTCCGATGCCCGATATGGCCGCGGGCTCCGACCTCCCGTTGATTCCCATCGGACATTGATGGGCTGCTCGCCGCCGGCGGGTATTGGTCTGACGGGCGATGGTTGGTGTCTGGCGCTGGGTGGCGTCGGAGGTCCGTTATGGTTTCGAATTTTCTGTGATGGTGTCTAAGGTCTGTGTATGTGAGGTCCGTGATGGTTTTTGAGGGTCGTGGTTTTATGTGCGGTTTTTGGTGGTGTGTGATGCTTGTGGTAATGTGTGAGGGTTGTGAAAGTTTCGGACTTTCTGTTATTGTTTCTAAGGTCTGAGATGTTTGAGGTCATCGATGACTCATATTGACTAAGGCCGTCATGCTTGTGGTGTCCGTGTTTGGTATCTGTTGTCGTTCCTTGGGCTGTGTGATGCCGCACACACAGTGTGTTGCCGGGCGACCCCAGTCCTGGCTCAGCTGGGCCGCGGTCGGCCTGCCATCAGCGCGGCGGCCGGTCGCGGCTGGGACAATAGCCGACTAAGCTGTTTCCATTACTGGACTCGGACGGCCGGGCAGCTCCGCCGGGGCTGGCGATCCCACAGACAGACGGACATTCGCGGCAAGGTCATGATCTCACTGACATTGACTGATCCCACGGACTGATATCTGGTCTCGCTGAATCTGACTGATCCGAGTGAAGGCGCAAACAGTCCCGGCACGGCAAAGTCTCCCTGGGACTGATTGGAAATGCAGACACACATATATCTTAGCAGACATTTCCGACACGACTGCGTCTCTCTGAATACATCAGTGCAGCGCCGGGTGTGCCATATCGCGCCCATGTATAACTGTGTGGCTTTCTTTGCCGACAGACGACACATCAAGGAGGCTCTGAACCAGCAGACGCGGGCCCAGTTTCGGGCCTACGCCGAACAGCAGTACCCGGGCAGCCCTGATCAGGTGAGACGGCTGCTGAAAAGAAACTTCGTCGCGAAAGTTGTCCTCTCGAAGAATGTAAACTATCCTTATATTGGCTGCATTCCTCTGTGTTTAACCAGCTCCGTACTCTTGGAATACGGCAGTGCATAGCTGCATTACTCTGTCCAACCAGTCGGGTCGCGCCCCACGAATACCCAGTCCGTGGCTGAGGGCAGGGTCGAGCAAGGAGCTAGTGGTGTGGATGAGTGTCAGGTGTAGTCTATTGACACGACAGTCGATGACGGATCGACACTGCCCTGTCCTGTCCTTCCTGTCCTATTCTGTCGTGTTAACCGTCCAGATGTCCAGCTGCCCTGCCCTACCCTGTCTTGTCCTGTTGCTGACCAACCCCCTCCGCGTACGTTCGCCACCGTCCTGTCCCTTTCTGCCCTGCGGCAGACCAACCTCCCTCCCTCCCGCATTCAGTTACCGCTGGTATACCTCGCTGCGGTATACCGCGTGGGCCGTGTGTTGTGGAGACGGTGCGCCGAACAGCCGGATCCTAGCTAGACTGAATACCCGACTGAATACCCGACTGAATACCCGTCTGGTCAGCGGTCAGCGGCTCAGCGGTCAGCCCTCGCTGACGGATGGCCCCCCGCCGCGCCGGCGGCTCTGGTTTATTAAGCGGACATGATGCCCAGTAATTGAACATCGGCGATCGGTCCGCTCCTCCAGTATCGACCTGTGTCAGGACCCAATCTTGTATGATAATGTGCGGCTTCTTCGGTAAAGGTTACCGCCGCGACTGGCCGGATGTGTTGTGACAGTGCAGCGCGCTGTTCGTTTGGGAGGGGGCGGGGGTTCACACTGTCAGATCAGAAGGGGGGGCACCTGACACCCTTCCCCTCAGCGGCTGCGAGAGAACCTGTTTAGTGTTTGCGCGTCATGTCTGTAGCCGGTTTTTCAACTGACTGCATTTGTGTTTGTCGGCAGCAAGCGGTGCTGATCGAGCAGCTTCAGGAGCAGCACTATCAGCAGTACATGCAACAGCTGTACCAGCAGCAGCTCCAGCAACAGCAGCAGCAGCAGCGGCCGGCACCGGTAGAGACCAGTGGAGGTGGGGCGGCCGAACCCCAGCCGGCTGGAGCGTCCGACCACGCCGCAGAGCCCGCCGCGCCCGCTGTGCCCGCCGCGCCGGCCAGTTCACAGGGCGACGCTGCCGGGACGGGGACAGGTATGAGCCCCGAGAGAGGGAGGGAGAGGGAGAGGGAGAGCGATAGGCTATCCGTAGCTCATCTCCACATAGTGGGTCAGGCGGTGCGCATTGTGGTCTGATGAGTGATCGGTAGAGTCTAAGGGACGAGTTCTGCAGTTGCTAAATCCGGCTGGTCACTCTCACTCGCATTCCGACTGAGAGTGATGTACCCTATTATTGGTTGGAAGTGCCGCTTGCAGGGGAATTTGTTTGCAGTGCGGCTACAGAACTACAGATGGCCTCCCGCCGTAACCCGTACCCCTGACCTTGCTCTTACCTCTATCCCGCCGTAGCCGTGTTCTGACCACAATCACTTCTGTGACTCGTGCCCTAACCTCTCCTGTCATATCCCGTATCATGACCTCTTTCCCTAAGTTGACCGTGCCCCGCCCTCTCCCCACCAGGAGCCGCAGTGCCACCGCCAGTGAGTGCCGCCATGGCCGCCGTCCAGACCCCAGAGACGGAGGCTCTGCTGGAGTCGGGAGCCGACAGGTCACTCCGGGAGACGGACGGACTGTTGGCAGAGTCGGCGGGCGAGGAGTCCGACTCCGGAGACGGTGAGCCATGGAGTCATGAGGGACGGATTGCTGGCCGAGTCGGCGGGCGAGGAGTCCGACTCCGGAGACGGTGAGTCATGGAGTCATGAGGGACGGATGGACTGCTAGCAGAGTCGGCCGGCAAGGAGTCCGACTCTGGAGACGGTGAGTCATGGAGTCATGAGGGACGGACGGACTGCTAGCAGAGTCGGCCGGCGAGGAGTCCGACTCCGGAGACGGTGAGTCATGGAGTCATGAGGGACGGATAGCTGGTCGAGTCGGCCGGCGAGGAGTCCGACTCCGGAGACGGTGAGTCATGAAGGAGTCTAGAGATCGTGACTGTGAGTGACGGGGAAGTCACGAAGGAGTTTGGAGCTGAAAGTGTCTGACGGAATTTTCGGAATACTGAGTGGCAGGGGAGTTGCGATAGTCAGTCAGTAATTGTCTGGTCAATGGAAAGTCGGCAGTCTGTTTACGGGGACGGTGATCCACGAAACAGATGAGGTGCACTACAGTGAGCCGTTCGCCAGACTCCGAATTCGTGAGTCGGACTCTTTTGACGGTGTTTTGGCGACTCCGAGCGAGGGAACTTAAAGGTATCACTTCCATTCTTTTTCATAGGTATTGCTATAAACCAACGCCTCTCCAGTTTCCATTGACCACTAACTGTTCCGTTCTATTCCTGCAGAGCATGTGCCCGACGTCGGCTCTGCCAGTATGTGGACGCGCAAGGACCTTGCCGAGTTCAAACAGGCCATCAAGGCCGAGGGAGGTGACGCAGTACTCAAGGTCGGCCACGGAGAGACGGTCACGGTACGTGAGGGGACGGATGGGACTCGGTGGGACAGTGATGGGACCGATGGGACGGTGGTGGGGTTTGGGTGGGACGGGATGGGCCTCGGTGGGACTCTGTGGGATGGGCGGGGCTGACTTGGTTTTGTTAAATGCCCTGTGATACGTATGGAGAAATGACACGCTGGCAAATGCAGGATATGACATCCCTTCGTCGTATTTCGGCGTTTTTTACTGCCTCTGCGCCAGACTGGCAGCCCGACGCCGAAGGGCTCTAACGGGACCTTGTTAAGAACGAATCGCGTAATTACTGCCTTAATCGGAACCCATTAGCGTGTTTAATTAAGTTTATGACGAGAGAGTTTATTGCGTATCCAGGTGCTTAGCTGCCTACAAACTTGCGATACCTACTCGTTTTTTCGCTGTATGAACCCTTTAGTATGTCAACTCTAGCTGAAGTTTTTATGTTTTTCCGCTACCTTTACGACTAGTCTGACTCAAAATTGTAAATAAATCAAAGTAATAAATAAATAAAGTAAAACGTCACATACTGAATTCACTGACTGATTGCCAAAGAGAGGAAGGCTTGCTTATGTTCTTTGAAAGTAGATCACAAATGTCAGTTGCCCGTTCGTTGAATTTGTATTACTCGACTTTGATTAGACTCATACAGACACCTTATTTCCGACACACCACATCCTGGCTGTGTTCTGAGCACTTCAGGCGCCGACATGGTCCATCCCTCCCCTCATACGCTCATCTGGCTTAGTCCCTCTACACGCCTGCTACCGCTGTTAGGTCGGTAGTCGAACGCAGCGCACCGCTCGTTCCAACCGGGCGCGCTCCGGGCATACTTGAGTCTCGCACCACGTCCCCGGAGCCCGGAGCGGCGGCGGTTCGCAGCGGGAGCGTTCAATAGTGGGATGTTCCGGGGCTGGTATGGTGGGCTGTTCTGGGATCGTGCTCGTTGAGGTGACGAGGGGGTGGTTAAGGCGCCGCATCAGCCAAGTGGAGGTGACTGGAACCGCCTTAGATAACGTCTGTGCAATGAAGGAAGGTGACACATTAGATTGGGTATGGAGGTGGTATGGGTCCAAATTGTTGACTGGCCGCGATACTGGCTGCTTCAGGACACCTTTAGCGCCCGCTGTCACCGGCCATTAGGGTAGTGCGGAAACAACAGCAACCAAAGGCGGCGTGAAATGCAACACTAAATGCGCCGTCGATTTGATAGTAGTTGTGAGTGTGCTTTGCTTTTAAAATGATTCATTTCTTATTAGTTTGTGAGTTTAGAATGTTTCCAGCGTTCAGCTACCAACCTTATGCTTTTGAGATTTATAAATTGCGCAACAACGGACCAACCTGAATAGAAGCGCTATTGTTGAGAACCTTATGCAATGCTCAGCACGCACATTAGCTCCCTTGTGTTTCCCTAACTTTGTCAGTATTTCGCCGAAGAATGCATCAACAAACAGCAACTTTGTCCCGACCTCGCTTGTTCTCCCGCTACCAGCTTTGTAATTACAACTACCCACTGTTTGCCAACCTCTCGTTCTCGTTATTACAACAACCGACTGTTTACAAACCCCACGGTCTCTCCTGCTCTCCGCCTCTGTCCCAACTAAGGAATTAACCCTCCCTTTACCGTTTGGCGCAGATCCGTGTACCTACCCACGAGGACGGCACGTGCCTGTTTTGGGAGTTCGCCACGGACAGTTACGACATCGGCTTCGGCGTGTTCTTCGAGTGGGGTCCCTCAGAGGACAGCGAGGTGACCATCCACATCAGCGAGAGCGAGGATGAGGACGAGGACCCCGAGAATGGTGAGGACTGGAGAGGATCGGCTGAGGACCGACGGGTCAGGACTAGGGACGGCCAGTTGAGGACAAGTGGAGACTAGAGAGGACCGGGATTGGGGAATGACGGGATGGAGACTGGGATAGAGGGAGGGGGTGGGAATGGTGTAAGAATGGAGGGCTGTAGAGAAGGCCGAATCGTGATTGCTGCTGTTTTTAAGGACCGATATGAGCACTGATAATGGAAATGTTAAGATGATTTTCTGATCTCGTGTGTCCGTTCTGACTCCATGTGCTGCTTTTGACCCCGTGTGCCCCCTCTGACCCGTCTGACCCGCCTCCACAGCCGACGATCCGGAGCGGGGCGCTCACGCGGCCGCCGAGGACCGTCCGCTAACCACCTGTGTGATTCCCGTGTACCGGCGGGACTGCCATCAGGAGGTGTACGCCGGATCGCATGTCTATCCTGGACAGGTAGAGACACCGGGTAGTGGGGAGAATGGCACAGATGGGGCTGCGTTCGGTGGTCGAGGGACAGCGCTGGTCTGTCGAGCTCCTAGAATTTGTCGGGCTCACATGAATAATAAGAAATGAAATGTTTTTGAAGGATATTTGGTATTGTTTACTCGTATAATTTTGTCATGTATCATTGTGACTTGTGAGCCTTCTTCTACTAAGTTCGACCAATTATATGACTATCCAATACGTCGCTTGGAGACTAAATGGCCTCCCAGCCTATTTCTTCCGTTTCTGTGTACTGTGTGGCTATGCCGGGCGCTATCCGACGCTGTTGCTCCCACCTGTCTCCAGGGCGTGTACCAGCTCAAATTCGACAACTCCTACAGTCTATGGCGCTCCAAGACGCTCTACTATCGAGTCTACTACACGCGGTGAAAGGCCCACGAGCGCTCACCCGGCTGTGTAGCGCCGCGGCGCCGGTCAGTGTGGGGTCTGAGACCAGACCATGGACCAGTCGCGGCAGATTAGACCATGGTCTGTGGTCTGGATGATCCAGCCCGGAGTGGTGGTGGGTGATCCACCGAGTTACCAGCGCTCTGAGGCAGCGGACCGCTGAGGCTACTGCTGTAAGGGCTGGCAGGTGGATATTGATGGAGTGATGGGAACAAGAGGCTAGGTTCTGTCAGAGCTGAGGTAGATTCTATGCTGTAGTGGTTTCAGCCTTGTCAGCGAGGCTGAGAGACGTGTGTGGGCACTGGATTTTGGGTAGTGGACTGGTGACGGCAGATGAATGGCTGCCTGTGGATGACTGGGAGTGAAGTGGATATTCCACACCGTTTTGTGGTACTCAGAGGTGGACGTCACTGTGCAATGTAATTATATGGGCAAGCAATGTTACGTTACACGGAATCCTGTATACTCACTAGTCACTGGACCCATGGGGCGGTGGACTGTTGGATCGTGTAGTATTACCACCAACTGTCCCAGTGCGCTCTGCTGCGACCTTCTTTCCGTGGCCCTCTCAGCTCCGCCAACGTACGGCCATCCTAGTACCGTGTCCAGGCCCGTGCAGCTCTGCCCGTAGTCCTCTAGTACCGCTTTCCACCTCCCATCTGTACTCTCTGGCGCTCGCAGCCCCGCCGGCCGTCCCAGTACCGCCATCTGCCCCTTTTAGCTCTCTGCAGTGACGACTAGCCAACCTGATCGGCCGGTAGTGAGCCTTTCAGAACTATCACGGATATCTCCCAGCTGACTACTCCGGCAGGGGAAGTCATCATCGGACAACTGCACGGCGCCTCACAGACTGACTGCTCCACCTGATCGGACTAGAAAGAACGGAGATTGCGCCGCCCCTGTCGCCCGCCGCTGGTGGGCGTTCAACGGAAATGTGCAGTAGATACTGTGTGCGGCACATACTGTATGGAGTCGTTTGGGAGACTCTTCATTGAGCGGAGATACGACTCAATCTGTCCGACCCATGGTTGGATCAGATCCCTGTGTGTCCCCTGCCCCGGGCATTTCATGTGTTGTTCTGTTGTTTTGTAGATGTTTATGTTGCGACGCTGTCTGAGTCGCGATTCCTGTAATGAATGGTGTGACTGTTTGGTGTTTGGGTGTCCCCCGATGTGTGGGGCAGGGCTAGTGTGAAACATGCTACAGCCACGCCGGGTTTGGCTAGGGAGAGGTCTTACTGTATCTGATGATTGTGAGCAAGGCGTGGTAATTTTAAGAAACGATCTACCGCCGCCAGCGCCACCACTCGTGTACTTGTGTTTCTCGGACTGTTCGTCGGAGGGCAGCACTGGTCGGTTGTGTAGCGTTATTGGACGGGCCGTGATGTCGCTTCTCTGGGCGTTCGTTGTCGCAATGGCTGTCCCGTGGACTGCCGTTTGCGTCGCAGCACCGTAGAGTGCTCAGAGGCTCTGGGCATTTGAGTCGTATGGATGAACGGGCTTTAAAGTGTATAACCAATTACATGTGTGAGTGTGTCCGTGGAATACAGCTATGTTGTATCTTACAGATGTGATGTTTTCTGTTCTGAATCTTTATCAATATCATTTATTGATATTTTTTGTGTTCTCTTTCGGAGGGAATACGGAGGTGCTGACTTTTGGTCCCTTGCGTCATGAGTAGGTTCAAGGCATCGACACCAATAACGAATCTTCAAAAGCTTCTCTGGAGGCTTCCACTTACCATGCAACGATGAATAAGGTAGCCTGAAAGTCGATGTGCGGGAACGCTTACATTGGCCTACAGTTGAGGCTAGAATTTTGATGGGCTAAAGCAAGGTAAAGGGCCTGAGACACTTATTTTTGTCGTGCCATACATATACACTATACAGTGAACTGTGCCATTTGAACGTTCGATGTTCCCGTTACCGACAATATGTTGGAGGCGCGGCAATGCTGCAGCAGACGGTTCCTATAATCGGGGCCGCAATTTATATATTGTTCCGCTCGCCCCCGCTCCTAATAGACGGTGCTACGGCCTGAAGGTATGCTGTGCTGCAGAACTTCCTCTCTCGTCGACAGATGGCAGTATTAACAAACGCCTGAATGCATGCTGCGCCGCAGAGCTTCCGTTTTTATCGCTAGATGGCGTTAGTAGTAACGTCTGAGTATATGCTGTGCCGCAAACCTTCTAACCATGCCGCTAGGCGCTAGATGGCAGCAGTAAGCAATGCCTGAATGTATGCTGTGCCGCAAAGCTTCTAATTGCGTCGCTAGATGGCAGCAGTAATTAGCGCCTGAATGTATGCTGTGCCGCAAAGCTTCTAATCGCGTCGCTAGATGGCAGCAGTAATCAGCGCCTGAATGCATGCTGTGCCGCAAAGCTTCTAATCGCATGGGTGAAACTTTGACATCACCATTGGGGTCCCAAACGTCCAAGGGGGCCTCCATTTAGTGGGGGCCTCCAAGCAATTAGGGGCCTCCAATTGCGGAAGCGGTAATTTACGAGCCACGCCAGGGCCTCCTCTAAGAAATTTTCATTGGGGGACCAGAGGCTCAGAAGCCAAACATGGGGTACCCCCAAATCCAGTTTTCTCATCGGATTTAGGCCACTTATTTTTCGTCACAGCTCTGATGCCATGATTTTTTTTTTAATATCGATAAAGAAATGGTAGGTCACCTGACCCTACTGGTGGATCCAGGCCAGCAGGGTGACATTGTATGTAAATATCCCCCGCGGCATCCGAAATCGACGAAAATTTCTGGCTTTTTCACTTTTGACAATAAAACACAATGCCTTTATAATAGAAAAAAAAAAATTAACGGCACAGCATTGCGCAAGGAATCTAGCCGTAAGCCGACCCCAGAAAGTGTGAGGGTTAACCTTCGCCGGCACCTGGGGGGAGGGTCGCCACCCCCAAGTTAGTTTTTCTGCTCTACACTTAACATTTTTAAAGCTAGAAACCTGATTTTCTTTGTATAGCTGCTTTTCTATCTTTTCTCAGCGTCCATTGAAAATTTCAAGCTTCTGCGGCATTTGGGTTTGGAGATATGACCTTGTTCTTCAGGTCATGTCATGTCCTAAATGACGAATACCCAATATCTTGCGATGGCTATGGGCCTTGTGAGCTTTTGACACGCTGATTTCGGCTTTTTTTGCCAGTCTTACCTCCCACCTATCATTGAACATGTTGTTCTGCGATGTACAGATGTCAGAGTCAGGGTCAAGGTCAACCTAGGTCATCTAAAATTATTGCGCTTTAGGCAAGCTGAATTTACTTTTCGTGAAGTTTCTTTGACTGTATGTTTAGTAAAAGCTTCTCACTTCATGATCAAGTGTAATAGGGACACACAAACCGATCTGTGCACACATCAGTACATACACAGACATACACAGACATACAAACACATATCATTGACCTTGACCTAACTTGACGTGAAATGACCACAGCCAGCAAATTAGTCGGATAGTGTGACAAAGAGCTGTTCTAGCTCGCTTGGCACTAATACGGCAGCGTCATCGGTATATGATGGGTTGGCCCGCTGCTTGTGTAGGTATCTTATTCGATATCACCACAATTTTTTCTTACAAGATTTTAAGCCTTGCGGTCAAGAGCAACAGATTCTTTGGGAAGTGACGAATCCAATGATACCAATTTTACCTCATCAGGTCAGTCATTGACCTTCCAGGTCAGGTCAAACTAAAGAATGTTGCTGTTTGGGGTCACCGTTGCCCGTTGGAATATCACGTGCGCTGCTCATCATGTACCGATGACGCTGCCGTATTGTGGTGCCAAGCCAGCTAGAACCTCTTTGTCACACTATCCGACTAGGTTTTTGCTGGCTGTGGTCATTTCAGGTCAAGTTAGCTCAAGGTCAATGACATGTGTTTGTATGTCTGTGTGTGTCTGTGTGTACGAGTATACTGATGTGTGCACCGACTGTGAATGTGTCCATATTACATGAGATCATGAACTGAGAAGCTTTTGCCAAAAATACAGTCAAAGAAACTTCACGAAAGTAAATTCAGCTTGCCTAAAACGCAATATTTTTAGACGACCTAGGTTGACCTTGACCCTGACCCTGGCATCTCTACATCATTGAACAACATGTTCCATGATAGGTGGGAGGTAAGACTGACAAAAAAGGCCGAAATCAAGGTGTCAAAAGCTCACAAGACCCAACGCCAACGCAAGATATTGGGTATTTGTCATTTGGGTTATGACATTACCTGAAGAATAAGGTCATATCTCCGAAACCAAAAACCACAGAAACTTGAAATTTTCAGTGGACGCTAAAAAAGGATAGAGCAGCAGCTATACGAAATATCCGACTTCTAGCAATCAAAATGTTTAGTGCAGAGCAGAAAAAACTACCTAGGTCGGGGTGGGGGGTGTGGCAACCACTGCCCCCCCCCCCATGTGCGGACGAGGATTACCTAAGTAATTTGAATATCAGGAAAACAATTTATTAAATCAGGTATTCCAACAGAGTCCCGCTTTTTTATAGGTGACCTCCGATTTGTGTTGCATCTAAGTTACCCAGGGGGCCTCTTATTTGTAATTGTAGGTACAGTACAGAGAGCCTCCTACTTCGACTACTTGCACAGAGAGCCTCCTAGCGTACAGGGTGTCCCATAAGTTCGTTCTCACCTTATATTTGCATGTAAAACAGAGTACATTGCTTTTTGATATGTTTATAACCCCTCAATGTGCTCCCCATTTCATAGGCAAACACATGAATACATGCTGCGACATGCCAACCGGCATGTTTGGCAGCATAGCAGGCTTGAAGTTAGCCCAGACTGACTTGGCATGCGCCGTGAGCTCCTCAATGCTGGAACACCGCTTCGCTTCGACGAGCCTCGATTTCAATATTCTCAACACATTTTTATGAAATTTGGATCCGATGAGTTGGCTGGGATGTGATCTTACCACACACGCCTATCACAGTCTCCTGGCACTGCTTCTAAGCTTTGCTTGACCTGTGCACTGATGCACTGTCTTGCTTGAAGATGGGCCTACGACCTCCCGGATGCCATTTTCTCCAAAAAAAAGTGTGGTCATACTTGCGGTTCGAGCTAAGCTAGAAAGCTGAAACTCCTACTAGATCTTCTTGGAGAAGTATTCTGCGTCCCAAGACTGTTTCTGGAGTATCAATCGCAACGTGATCAGTGTCTGGACGCATATTACCCCACATTACCGTGACCCTGGCCTTTTGCATAGGAATAAAGCGGGATGACATAAAAGCCTTTTCCGTCGCCCATATGGGACCGTTTTGGGGTTTGGACCGGTGTTTTATCTCGAGCACGGACTAGGTAGTCCAGATGACCACATTGATGTCATCGGCCCTCCAGTTTTTTAGCCTCAGGCATAACGAAACACATGTTTGGCCATTTTAAGACGTTTTTGACTGTTTTGAGTCCTCCGGTAAGGAGAGTAAAAGTCACCTTGAGTTAGGTACCCCGAAATGATACTCTTAGACAGCTGGTAATGCATCCTGAAAAGCCTGTTTACCAACTTTCTAACGTTAAGACCCTTTTGACGGCCATTTTGGCGCCACACAGTTTTGGCTACATGGCTCACTCGTGAAAGCTGACAAAAAAGAGCATAAACTTGCAGCGATTGACTTCCGACAAATCATCGGCGTCACTTGTTGACTGTGCGTCCAGTTAGCGACAGACATTGGCTACATACTGGATGGCCTCAATCACCCTCAACCGTCGTGAATGGCCCAGTGCGGACTAAATACCGAGACGTTCCCGTATCGGAGACCTCTATGTTGCGGCGTAAGCCGTCTCCACAGGAAGTGAACTCTCTGGCAAAAAATATTTTGTCTAGACAAATTAGTTACCGTGGAGCACATTCACAGTTGCCATGGCAACCCCAAAAGCTCAGTTACAAAATAAATTAAGCGTGGCTTTAAATAAGAGAGCCTCTAAAAGAAAAATTTAGGTGAGAAGGAACTTATGGGACACCCTGTACATACGGCTAAGCTTCTACAGGTCGAGCGCCGGTCTCTTGTACGTACAGAGAGCCTCCTACTGTTACAGAGGGTCTCCTGTTTGTCTAGGGGGCCTCCTATTGGTTAACGGCGCCTCCTATTTGTCCAAGCGGCCTCCTATTCGTCTATGGGACCTCCTATTTGTCCAGGAGGCCTCCTGTTTCTCCAGAAGGTCCCCTATTTATCCAGGGGGCTTCTATTTTCCAGGGGGCCTCCTCTTTATCTAGGGGGCCTCCTACGTGTTCAGGGGCCTCCTATTTGTCCAGGGGCCTCCTATTTATCCAGGGGTCTTTTATTCGACTAGGAGTCTCATATTTGTGCAGGGGCCTCCTATTTGTCCAAGGGTCTCCTACTTGTCCCGGGGCCTCCTTTTTTTGAAGGGACTCCTTTTTGTTAAGGGAGCCTTCTATTTGTCCAGGGGGCCTCCTATTCGTACAGAGAGCCTCTAGCTCCTACTTGTCCATGGAGCCTCCTATTTGTTCAAGAGGTCCCCTATTTGTCCAGGGGGCCTCCTATTTGTCCAAGGGACCTGTTATTTTTCTAGGGGGCCTCTTTGCCCAAGAGGCC